TCAAAAGATTGCTCTTATCAACTTCCTAACATCAGTCATTGTTGCATCAGATGCGGACTAGGGGGGCAACTTTGACCCCAATTCTGGTCAAAAAGATCCTACGATGCTTTATATATCAAGATGATATTTTGAGAAAATCCCAGCGACATGCAAGGATACTTCTAATCAATTACAAGCCTTATATAGTCCCCTGCTGGGCCTCTACTCCTTGGACAATGTCTTAATCTCATCGTCAAAAAGGCAGTAACGGTCTAAAGATAGACCATTCTTCACATTTGATTCAGGATATATGCGGCGTTCGCCCTCTCCTAATCAAAGCAAAATCAATCACAGGAGGATTCGATTTGACCTCTTCCACACAGGTTAACATCGTCAAGCAAAGACTCCGACATACAACCTCAGAAAGGTCTCACATCCTTGGTGGATTCCCTCGACCTCTTCCACACATGTTAACGTCGTCGAGCAAAGGCTCCGATATACAACCTCGGAAAGGTCTCACATCCTTGGTGGATTCTCTTGACCTCTTCCACACAGGTTAACGTCGTCAAGCAAAGGCTCCAACATACAACCTCGGAAAGGTCTCACATCCTTGGTGGATTCTCTCGACCTCTTCCACATAAGTTAATGTCGTCGAGCAAAGGCTCCGACATACAACCTCGGAAAGGTCTCACATCCTGGTGGAATCTCTCGACTCTTCCACACAGGTTAATAGTCAATAGAGCAGGCTCCGACATACAACCTCAAAAATGTCTCACATCCTTGGTGGATTCTTTCGACCTCTTCCACACAGGTTAACGTCGTCGAGCAAAGGCACCGACATACAACCTCGGAAAGGTCTCACATCCTTGATGGATTCTCTCGACCTCTTCCGCATAGGTTAATGTCATCGAGAGGGCTCCGAATACAACCTCGGAAATGTCTCACATCCTTGTGGATTCTCTCGACCTCTTTCACACAGGTTAACGTCTCGAGAAAGGCTCCGACATACAACCTCGGATATGTTCTTACATCCTTGGTGGATTCTCTCGACCTCTTCCACACAGGTTAACGTCGTGAGCAAAGGCTCCGACATACACCTCGAAAAGGTCTCACATCCTTGGGCATTCTCTCGGCCTCTTGCCACACAGGTTAATGTCGTCGAGCAAAGGCTCCGACATACAACCTCGGAAAGGTCTCACATCCTTGGTGGATTCTCCCGACCTCTTTCACACAGGTTAACTTCGTCGAGCAAAGGCTCTGACATACAACCTCGGAAAGGTCTCACATCCTTGGTGGATTCTCTCGACCTCTTTCACACAGGTTAACGTCTTTGAGCAAAGGCTCCGACATACAACCTCGGATAGGTCTTACATCTTTGGTGGATTCTCTTGTCCTCTTCCACATAGGTTGACGTCATTAGGCAAAGGCTCTGACATACAACCTCGGATAGGTCTTACATCATTGTTGGATCCAATATCAGTTAACATAATCGAGCAAAGGCTCTGACTAACAACCTCGGACAGATTATACATCCTTGGTTAACGTCACCAAAATGTCGTCAATGGACTTCCATCGGACTTCTGCACAAAGTTAAATTTCTACCTGATGTTGAATTTCCTCCTGTCACTGAACTTTTGCCTTGCAGGACTTTCAACGGACTTATACCCGACATTGTACTTCTACGCGACGCCGGACTTCTACTCATCGATGAATTTTTGTCGGTCTTCTACCCGACGTTGTACTTCTACCCGACGTCAGACTTCTCCCTGTTGTCGGACTTCTACTCGTCATTGGACTTCTACTTGTCGACGAACTTTTGTTGGTCTTCTACCCGACATTGAACTACTACCCGACGCCGGACTTCTCCTTGTCGTCGGACTTCTGCTCGTCAGCGGGCTCCTATTCGTCATCGGACTTTTGCTCGTCGACGAACTTTTATTGGTCTTCTACCCGACGTCAAACTTCTCTCTGTTGTCGGACTTTTGCTCATCAGCGGGCTCCTACTCGTCGTCGGACTTCTGCTCGTCGACGAACTTTCGTCAGTCTTCTACCTGACGTTGAACTTCTACCCGACGTCGAACTTCTCCCTATCGTCGGACTTCTGCTCTTCAGCGGACTCCTACTCGTAGTCCGACTTCTGCTCATTGATGAACTTTCGTCGGTCTTCTACTCGACTTTGAACTTCTACCCAACTCTGGACTTCTCCCTGTTGTCGGACTTCTGCTAGTCAGCGGGCTCCTACTCGTTGTCGGACTTCTGCTCGTCGATGAATTTTTGTCGGTCTTCCACCGGACTTTTGAATTCTATCTTTCGCCGGACTTCTGTCCGTCAATAGACTTTCGTCGGTCTTCTGCCCGACTTAGTATTTCTACCCGACACCGGATTTCTGTAGTTCAACAATCTCTCGAAGAATAGGGGGGAGAAGAAAAATCCCGTAACTCCTGCACGAGAGGAGGGGCGCTATATCAAGTGGGGGAAATTTCCCACTCGCAAATAGCGGAAGCCTCAACCATCAGAAAGCCGTGGGGGAAGGAAGACAGATCCCGTAACTCCTGCACGAGAGGAGGGGCGCTAATTCGAGCAGGGAAAATTTCCCACTCGTAAATAGAGGAAGCCTCAACCGTCAGAAACCCGTGGGGGAAGGAAGAAAAATCCCGTAACTCCTGCACGAGAGGAGGGGCGCTAAGTCGAGCAAGAAAAATTTCCCACTAGAAAATAGCGGAAGCCTCAACCTTCAGAAAGCCGTGGGGGAAGGAAGAAAAATCCCGTAACTCCTGCACAAGAGGAGGGGCGCTAATTCGAGCGGGGGAAATTTCTCACTCGCAAATAGCGGAAGCCTCAACCACCAGAGAGCCAGAGGGAGAAAAGAAGAGAATAGGCAATTTTTCTAAAGGCCTATGGGGCGTATTTATACTTTTTTGGAGAGAAGTGGGGAAGTTTCTAGAGTTCTCTAGAATTTTTGAATTTCCCACATTTTTCTAAATTTTTTTAAAATTTTCTAGAATTTTTTCGGATTCCTTAGATTTTTTTGGGGAATTTTTCGGATTTTTGTGGGCCCCGCTCAATTTAAAAAAAAATTCAAATCCATAACCGCGAGCGAAGGGTTCAATATTAGCCGTCCATTCAAACCACTCTCAATTCGCCCATGATCTCACACCTATTTACAAGCCATGCCACTCCATAAAAACTATAAATAGAGCCCTCATTCTACACAAAGGGGACTCAAGTGAAGAGAGAGAAGAAGAAGAAGAAGAAAAAGGGGAAAAAGAGAATCCTCTCCTCCTCGACCACCTCCGGAGTTCATCCTGCCTCCCGAACATGCCGGGATTCTGTGTGATATTCGGGAAAACGCAGGAATTCTGCCCAACTTCCACATGATGCTGAAATTCTTCTCAATTTACAACAGAGTTTCCTCCTGACGTCGAAACTCCGCCCAAGTGAAGCCGGAGCTCTCCTCTGCCACCAACAGACGTCTGACTTCTACTCGGCGTCGGACCTTCACTCTTCGCCAAGTTTCTACCCGACACCGGACTTTTACCGGTTATCGGACTTCGCTGGACGTCTATGCGAAGATGCATTTCTTTCCATTGTTGGACTTCTACCTGACGCTGTCCTTCTGATCTTCATCGTCAGACTACAGTCCTTTTGACCTCCGTCGCCCGTCGACTACGGTCCTCCTGACTTATGTCGCCCGTCGACTACAGTCTTTCTGACCTCCGTCGCCCGCCGACTATGGTCCTTTTGGCTTACGTCGCCCGCCAACTACAGTCCTTCCGACCTCCGTCGCCCGTCGACTACGGTCCTCCTGACCTATGTCGCCCGCCGACTACAGTCTTTCCGACCTTCGTCGCCCGCGCGACTATGGTCCTCCTAGCTTACATCGCCCGCCGAATACAGTCGTTCCGACCTCCGTCGCCAGCTGACTACGGTCCTCTTGACTTCTGTCGCCCGCCGACTACAGCCCTTCCAACGAAGCGAATACGTCAATAGTAACTCTTTGTATTTATATCATGTAATGTACTCTAAAAGATTTGCATCAAGCTAAGGCCTTCTCCCAAGGAAGGGCCTCATTTGTAATCGACTGCAAATATTAGTGGATTCGTTCAAACTGGGCTAGGGCCCGTGATTTTTTCCCCCTTTTTCAGGGGTTTTCCACGTAAAAATCTTGGTGTCTCATAAATGCTAGACCCTCTCTCCTTATCTGATTGCGTGCCGGATTTTCGTACAATGCTAAGACGATAAATATGATATTTCTCTACCGTCGTGAATACTCCTGGATGCAACACATCTAAAACTAAATAAATGGAGTATAATTTTTTTAGTAATATATCTAATTGTGGGTTTGTGTGCTTGGGTGATCAAATTATTAAAAAACAGTGCACATTTTAGATATCTCAGGTCAATTATTCAAAACGATGGTGAATATATATGATGATATTATTATTAGAATTTAAGTTGGATGATTGGAATGAAGGAATGCATCCGGCATGTTGTAATATAAAAGAGCCCCTCAAACATAAGGATAAGTTTGATAAGATGATGGTGAGACCTGCAATATTTTATGGCGCATAATAAACCTAATATCTTATTTTTCTCTGAATGTATGGTGGCATCCAGCCCTTCAGGCACTTTTAAATGATTGCATGGTAGCAACCGGCCCTCCTGCTTCATTAATTTATATCTATCTATAGATATCAATTATCAATGCATGGTAGAAACCGACCCTTATATATATATATATATATATGCATAATGCCCTCCAGCACCTTTTATATATGTTTTATATATTATATTCATATAGTGCCAATGAGTGGGGTCATCCGGTTTTCTTAATATCTATATATTGCCCACTTGAAGTTGAAATGAACAATTCTTCATCGATCAGGAGAAGATAATAATATTCAGTTAAAATATTAACGAAAATCTCTCGGCCCGACCTTCTTTGATATAAGTACACTTTGTTATTCAATATCTGATTATCAGGAGAAGAACTTCTTTGCAGTAGAAAGGGAAGATCATTAATGGCCACCTTGCTCTCGAAGCAGTTCGTCTGCCTCTTTCTATCCTTCGCGCTCTTCGTCACAGTCGTGCTCGGTCATTAATATGCATTATTTATCATTGATTTTTAATTATTTTTTTCTAATATAAAAATATTTAATATTTGTGCTCTGCTTATCTTATGATATTACAGGTAGGATTATCTGCGAACAACTGGATCGAAGCACGTGCGCCTTTGCGGTGTCTTCCAATGGCTTCCGTTGCCTTCTTGAGAAGCACGTGCGAGGGGTAGGCTTGGGTGAGGAGGTATACACGTGCCGGACCTCCAGTTTGAAAGCCACCGTTATGGCCGGCTGGGTTGAGACTGATGCGTGCATTGCAACCTGCAGTCTAGAGCGGGAAACGGTTGGCATCTCTTCGGATTTACTACTAGACCGGCGGTTCTTGGGCCGACTCTGCTCGCCGGAATGCTTCCTGAACTGCCCCAACATTGTCGATCTTTACTTCAGCATCGCCGCCGGCGAAGGTGGTTAGTTATTTATTTAAATATCAAAGAAAAGGACTTTCGATCTTCTTCCATCGAAAACTAATTTTTGGCTAGAATTTTATTCTGCAGGAGCTTTCCTCCCAAATTTGTGCCGAGAGAATGGCTTTAGGAGGGAAATATCAGAGAAAATAAGCTACGCAAGTGGCCCGGTGACCACCATGAGCTCAATTTCCAGCTTTTATGGAGGTTACGATCCAAATTTCTAATCGACTCGAGGGCGAATACTGCCAAATCTTCTATAACACTTTTCTATTTAATAATATTTTATTTCTATGCAAGTGATGTAATTTTTTTATAATTTTAAATCTTTTGTGATTCATAGCTCACCTCCATGTTTTGGTTACCAAAAAATTTGTGCACTGTACTTCAATTTTTAAAGTCAAAGACTATTTGGATTCAAATTTTTAAAAAATAAAATAAAATCTATTGTGCTTCTGCATAAAGTCAAAAACTATTTGGATCCGTCAGAAAAAATTAAAGGGATCAATTCATTAGTTTTCTCTAAATAAAATAAAAGACTTTTTCCTAAATACATTGTCATATATATGATGGATAGGGATAAGTAGAAGGGATTCCCTCAGAAGATGGTGGAGGGTAGTACTAGTAAAAGTGAGCCGTTAGGGTATAGTGATGGAAAGTAGGAGTTTGGGAAATAAAATTGAGGATTCCCTATAGGAGGTGTGGGTAAAGGGGGCTAGGTTGGGTATTGGTGGCAGGCTCGAAGAGTTCCCCTCAGTACCTTCACCCCTACCGGATCATCCACCAATGTTCTTCTTGCGCTTGAACGTTTATGATTGACCGCCTAGGGGACTCATCCCCACTAAAAGCCATATGCAAAAAATAAAAGAAAAAATTAGTAAGGTTATGAAAATGCATGAAATAAGTAGTAAGTACTACTATGCTATAAGAAAAAAATATGTGTTTACTACTACTATGCTATAAGAAAAAAAAAAGTAACTATTGTGCTCTAAGGAGAATAAAATGTTGTACAAAAATACATGCGTAAAGGAAGGTAATTGATAGTCTGCTTAGATAAAAGAATTCACTCCATTAAAAAATTATTCTTTTAACATCTTGCGTAAACAGCGGGTTATACATCCAACTTCTATGACTTTGAATATACATAACACACTTGAGCTTTAAATTCCTACAACTAAACAATGAGATTTGTATCAATTGAATGTTATTTATATATAATTGTCTTCATAAATTTTTTTTGAGATAACATCTCATAAAAATCAAGATATACAATATTAATATATGACCTAACTATCTAAGGCGACTCTCTCTAATCTTATCTTCCACTGGAGCTACTCCAACATTTCACGTATATGCTCATTTTGTATCTTGTCTCTAAGATAAAGCTACTCGTCCACCTGAGCATCCTCATCTCCGGCACACTTAACTTAATATTATGCTTCTCTTTTAATGGCCAACATTCTGCATCATAAAGAATTTCAGGTCTCACCAGAATCTTATAGAATTTTCCCTTAAGTTTGAGGGGGATTTTTCTATCACATAAAATGCCCAATGCATTCCTCCAGCTAAACCGTATAATAATGATACATGACCAAACTATCTAAGGTGACTCTCTCTATAATTTCATCTTTCACTGGAGCTACTCTAACCTTTCACATATATGCTCATTTCGTATAATATCTTTTAGATTAAAGTTACTTATCCACCTATGTCTCAATTCTACAATACTTGACTTAATAATACGCTTCTCTTTTAATGGCCAACATTTTTCACCATAAAGCATTGCAGTACTCTCACTACCATCTTATAGAATTTTCCCATAAATTTGAGGATGACTTTTCTATCACACAATAAGCCCAATGCATTCCTTCACTTCAACCATCCAACTTGAATTATGCTAATAATATCAATATCTATTTCACCATCACTAGATCCAAGATATCTAAAGCAAGTACTCTTATTAATGACTTGATTGCCCAAAGTCACAATCCATCAACTATATTTAATATTATTAAAATTACACTCTATATATTAAACTTTAGATATACTCAAAAGGAAACCTTTAGAATCTATAAGGTTGACCTCCATAAAACAATTTTACCATCAACTCCCGCTCTAGTCGTATCAACAAGAAGAATGTCATCAGCAAAAAGTATACATATAGATTTACGAGATCTTGACAAAGAAGCGTGCAAAAAGAAGAAAGATGGATACCTTCACAATGACCAGGCTCATATCAGAGGGCGAAGGAGGTGTGACTTCAGATGCGACAAAAAAATAGTGAGGAGGTGTGTCTTCAGATGTGACGACTAAAGAACAACAATGAGGTGTGACTTTAGATGTAACCTCGAATATGAACCAGAAGAACGACGAGGAGGTGTGACTTCGGATGTAATAAGAAGGAACTTCGTTGAAGGAGGTGAATAAGTAATTTAATGATTTGTTCAAAATGCCCTAAATAACAATGAATATTTGGAGATGAGAAGAGGATAATCTGTGGCAGAGGCGAAGTTGAAGAGAGAAGAAAAGGATGAAAGGGCGGAGGAGTGTAGTTTAACAAATGATAAAATGAAACAGATGCACACGATTAGATAAAATAGGTTGTGTTGGATTTGCGTTGGCTTTGAGGTAGAAATTGCCACAGTAAATTTGCGGTGGATTTTCTGTAGTAAATTCCATCTAAAATTTTTTATAGAATTTTCATTGCAAATCCATCGACATTTTCAACAAACAACATTCCGTTGTAAAGTCTGCCTCAAACGGCTGACCTTCCACTATTCATGGACGAAGGGAAGGGGAAGACTGTAAACCCAAAATTGTCTTAAAAAGATCAAAGATGTGCAAAATAAAATATCATCAAAAGATCAAAGATGTGCATCTATACCTTTTATTTATGATATGTCTTAAAAAGTTTATCTTGATCACAAATCTTAAGATAAAATCAAGTCTGAAATTTCCAAAATTAAATCAGAGACCATCCAAACTCCGATTTTAGCAAACTTATAGGTGAGCTGAACGTCACAGAATTACAAACGTAACAACACAAAATTCAACTCAATCCAAACCCAAATGGGTCCAAATCGAATACCCAAAGCACGTTTGAAAACTTTAAACCCAAAATTGGATGACTAAATTATTTCCAAACTAACATGCTTATAGTCGAATCGAGCAACTCGATGAGACAAATCCAATGATTCCAAGATAACCAATTTTGATATCATTAAAATATTTAAATGCCCAATAAATAGTTCATGATCAAGAGAATCAACATCAACCATCCATTCAATCAACTAACAACTTATCCTTTATCTCCTTTCTAATGGTTAGAAGTCAAATGCAAAATATTTGAAGTTGATTAAGTAGAGAAGATCTGGTAGGAAATCTATGCTATGAGTTTTTGATTTGGGTATTATTTTATATAAGGATAGACTATATATTCCAATTTTTGGAGATATGAGGCGGGAGATTTTGCATGAGGCTCACTATTCAGGCAATATTGTTCATTCAAGAAGCTATAAGATGTACGGAGATTTGAAGGGTATATTTTGGTGGCCTAAATTGAAGGACATAATGGAGTTTTCTTTAAAGTGTGAAGCCTATCAATTAGTGAAGGCAGAGTATCAACGATTGGGTGATCTTTTACAATCATTACCTATTTTAGAGTGAAAATGGGAAGAGGTGATGATGGATTTGCTATGGGTTTTCCCATATCGAGGGAGTGGCATGATGTTATCTAGGTTGTTATCAATCGATTGATGATGTATGCTCATTTTATTTTGATGTCAAAGATATTATTAAATTGCACTGTGTGTTGAATGTGATTATATATGATCTATATGGTAGGTTTATCTTCATATTATAAAGAGACATTCAATAAGGATATGGTAAGAAGTTACACTTTATTATGGCTTTTCATCCATATACAGATAAATAATCTGAAAGGACTATTTAGGAACTAGAGGATCTTCTGAGACCATGTGTTCTATATTTTAGAGATAGTTGGGAGGATTATATCTCGTTGATAGAGTTTTCATATAATAGTAGTTATTAGTACAATATATGTATGGCTCCTTATGAAGCTTTATACGGTAGGAAGTGTAGGACTCCTTTGACTTTGATAGAGGTGGAGATATACATGTGATAGGTTTAGCCTTTGTAGATGACATTATAATAAAAATCTATTTCATCAGAGAAAGATTGAGATCTGCACATGATAGATAAAAGAAATATTATGATAAAAAATACAAGTTGGTTGAATTTTATATTGGTGACTTTATTTATATCAAAGTTAGCCTTATGAAAAGTGTCAGCATATTTGGGGGAATCAGCAAGCTAAGTCTAAGCTACATTAGATATTTTGAGATAATTGAGATGATTAGTAATTCTATTTATCAGATGTTCAATATATACAATGTGTTCCATATATCTTTTTTAAGAAAATGGGTATTTGATTCTAGGAAGAGATTATTTATTGATGATGTTAAGGTTCATTTGAATATGCACTACAGGGAAGAGCCCGATAGGATTTTAACATATGATGTGAGAAAATTGAGGAGCAAACATCTTCATATGACTAAGGTGTAGTGGAAGCACATGACCACTAGAAAGGCAACTTGGGAGAAGAAATCTAAGATGAGATAACTATATTCATATTTGTTCTAACTCATTTTGATCTGAAAATATTGAGGATAATATTTTTTAAGGTGGGTAGAGTGTAGTAACCTTTAAATTTTAAAAGAGATATTTTGATCTATAATAATAAAAAAATTATTTCATGAGTCATTATACATCCAAATCACAAATCATCTTTTTCATAATATAAACATTATTGTATTTTAGTTTCTCTAATTTTTCCATAATTTTTTGACACTGGTACAATTTCTTAAGAAATTGATCTTTATCGGTATAAATGAGATTTTTGGGACCGTCGTTAGGTGTCTATTTTTCAAACCAATTTCACCAGAGTATTTGGGACATACTTAGTTAATCTATGAATATTTTGTATAATCTTAAAATGTCCATTTTTAAATTGATTATTTTGTATAATATTTTGTAAAATTTTGTATGGGAAATACTTAGTTAATTTATGAATATTTTGTATAATATTTTGTTAATTTATGAGATTTTTGGGACCGTTAGATGTCTATTTTTCAAACCAATTTCACCAGAGTATTTGGGGCATACTTAATTAATTTATGAATATTTTTTATAATTTTAAAATACCTGG